TCGAGAAGGGGGCCGGCCCTCCGTCCGTCGAGGTGCTGCTGCTCGCCTTTGCAGAGTTCTGAAGGCGTGCGGTCGGGCAGAATGTCCGAAGCCGGATCTCCGTGCTGAGAAGGAGCTGCCCTCCATCCGTGTACCTTTTGCACAGGGTGGAACTCCGATGAGTGCATTTTGAAAACGAATTGGCCTCCATCCCTGTAGTAGAAGTCTGAAGCCGGAGCTCCGTGCTGAAAAGGAGCTGCCCTTTGTCCGTGTACCTTTTGCCTTGGCATCGCTCGGGCGTGTGCATTTTTCGTTCGGCGAGGGCCATCGATGAGCATCACTGATCATTCGGCGAAAAAGCCACGCACGAAATCGAAAAAAACACAGGGGATGGACGTCCGAGCGATGGCCAGTTGCACAAGGTGGAACTTCGGCTGGATATATTATTCGGAGGGCCTGCTCAGCGATAAGTGCATTTTGAGAACGAGTTGGCCTCCATCCTTGCCGTTGGAAGCTTCAACAAGGAACGTGTGCGGCGTGTGGGTAAGAGCCGCATTTGGACCCCCCCCTCTATCATCTGTGTAGCTGCTGGTTCCTTTGAAGAGTGCGACACGGAGGACAGTTCTCGGTGGCCACATGTGAACCCTACTCCTACCCCCCCCACGATTTCTCAGGGAGGGTGGGGGTTCACTTCGCTCGGAAAGGGGTAGGATTCACATGTGGTCGCCTAAGTTCTTCAAGGAAGAGTGATGGTGAGGAGTTGGAGAAGGATGGGGGTGGCAGGAGATGCCTAGACCCCACTGGGACCCTGCAGAAACCGCTCAAATACCCCCCCCCAATTTGGCCACCACCCGTTCGATGTGAAATCCAGAGAGTGCTGTTAAGTCGGGTCTGTCCCTCTACAGGAGATATATTCAAAAATAGTAGAACATAGTAGGGGGACGATTTTTTGATTATTTGTCACCATTCTGGGGTATGTTGATACTATTCATTTTTTCTCCAAAAATCCGCCTGTGGGAGGACATGCCCGACGTAAGAGTACTGTCGCAGGAAGCAGGGCACCTCCGCCACGCAGCCTGGTGGCCCCGCACGGGGGCCAGCGAATAGGACTGCATTTGCGGCTGCGCCAGCTCCTCTCCAAGGCTCCCGGTCTGGCATCCTCGTAGAGGCCTTCTTGAACCGGCAGTGGGTCCCGAGAAGCGTTTTCCTATTCGTTCCCAATGCGCGTGCTTCGAGCCTTGCCTCACCTGCTCTGCTCCGACCCGAGCGGGTCGTCACCTCTCAGACCTGAATTGGTCATAAAACTTTTCTGACCTGAGCAGGTCGTAAAACTTCTCCGACCTGAGCAGGTCGTAAAACTTCTCCGACCTGAACAGGTCGTAAAACTTCTCCGACCTGAGCATCTTGTGAAACTGCTCCGACCTGAACAGGCCGTAAAACTGCTCCGACCTGAGCAGCTCGTGAAACTGCTCCGACCTGAGCAGGTCGTAGACCTGCTCCGACCTGAGCAAGTCGTTAGACTGCTCCGACCTGAGCAGCTCGTAAAACTGCTTCGACCTGAGCAGGTCGTAAAACCGTTCCGACCTGAGCAGGTCGTAAAACTGTTCGGCGCACACATGACGGGAGAATTCCCATGCCATGGGCGACCCACCCGAGAATTGGCGGGCGACTATTCCAAGATCTGGCGGGCACGGGATTCCGAATCCGAAGGGGCGACCACCCTAAGTATTGGCGGGGGACCATCCCAAGAACTCAATACCTTCTTGTTGCCATCGTCGTCGTCGTCGCCGACGTTACAACAAATTGTTCCTTCATCTTCCATCGTATCTCTTCGTCCTCTTCCTCGACTTCTCCTTACCCTGCGAGCTCCTCCCCGTCCCTCCCCCTCCCCCTCCTCCTCCTCTTTCTCCTCCTCTTCTCCTCCTCCTCCTCCTCCTCCTCCTCCTCCTCCTCCCCGCACCTCCCTCTCATCTCCTCCCCCTTCAACTCCCTCCCCTCCCCGTCCCCTCCTCCTCCCCCTACTCCTCCTCGTCATCCTCCCCCTCTTCCTCGTCCTCCTCTCCTCCTCCTCCTCCTCCTCTCCGCTGCAGCGGCTTCTCGGTGCACCAGGACCAAGAGCAAAAAACCCGCGGTGCGGCCTATAGCTTCGCATCGGGGGTGCATCGAAAGAGGGGGGGCGATGACATAGGGCGTCTGAGGGGTGGCGTCCAAGAGGGGTCTCCAAGAGGGGTTGATATCTGGCCAGGGCCTTCTCCTCCTCCTCCTGCTCCTCCTTCCTCTTCCTCCCTCCTCCGCCTCCTCCTCCGCCTCCTCCTCCTCCTCCTCCTCTGGATCCTCCTCCTCCTCCTCCTTCTCCTCCTCCTCCTCCCCTCCTCCTCATCCTCCTCGTCGTCTTCCTCCTCCTCCTCCTCCTCCTCCTCCTCCTCTCCAGATTTCATGGCCGCCCCTCGTATTCCAGCACGCTCCCTGGCCCCCCCCCCCCCCCCCTGTCCGCGCACGTGCAGTCGAGCTTGATCGGAGA